GCCCAGGATTTGATCCCCGGACCGCTCGCGCGGTAAGTGTGCCAGTCGCCAGTACATCACTTCCGCCCAAATAGGCGAACAGGTAAAGAATTACTTAAGGGTTCCATTGCAATAGCGAAAAAAAAACCCTCAGAAACAGCTGATAACCCATCGGCAGATCCGATCCCCATAGATCTACTTGACTACCCGTTGGCGCCCATACCCTCCCCAGGTGCTGGGCACTTACCTAGCATGACTGGCGATGAGTTGGTCCACGACATCGATGTGATGAATCAGATCGAGAATCAGCGCTTTCAATTTGAGGTCGAGCACTATGTCGCTGACTTTCGTATTGGTGTAAGCTTTGAGTTGTTCCTGTAGAGCCGCCTTCAACTTGTCGAAATCTCTTGAGCCATCCAGCGTCTAAAAAGTTTCCTGTGAGGTTATAGATGTATTAGGCAGAAATGCTATCGAAATTCCTAGCGTGTCAAAAGAGGAGTGACCAATCTTTTGAGCTCTGAAGGGAGGGGAGGGAGCGCTCATGCCGTTGAGGGGAGGAAACATTCAAGTAAGTGCCACTCAACCTGGGACTAGGTTTTAGGGAAAAAAGAGCCTCTAGGAGACGATGTTAGCAAATTTTTCCCTATGCGTTCCTACCCTCTCCCGGCTGAGTCCTAGTGCCACCTTCCAGCGGTTTTTAAATTCACGGTTTGAATGTACCCACCAAAGAAATAAGCACCGATGAGGCCATATTGTTTACCTAGCGGTTGTTTGAAGGTGCGTCCTGCCTGGTCTGCCTTACGCAACGGCACAGATAAATAGGTAAATAATTAGCCCTCAGAAACTTACCTGTTCGCAGCTTTGACAGAACCGAACTTGTTCGGCAAGGCAGAGAACCTGTGATGGATACCTAAAAATCGTTTGAAAATGGTGAATGGATCAAAATGCTCAGTCACTTTGCTATACCTGGCTGGATCGACGTTCACATCACGTATTGCTTCCACCGACAGCTTCCTCAATGTTGATCGCATTTCGTCGGAGAGGTTTTGAAGCCAAATCTGCAAATGAACAGCGTCACATTTCTCCACTGCTCCAATCACGTTACAGGAGAACGTAGAGAGGCGAGGGCAAAATCCACTTTGGAAATAGAATGTTTGAACACAGCTCGCTGGTGCAAGGCGGATGCACACAACTGCGACCGAAGCATAACTGATCATTCCAAGTAAATAAAACTGAACCTTTGAAGCCTAGTCTTTCGATTATTCATGCCATTAGGTCAAGACATTCTCGAAAAATGGCACCATGCACTGTTGAAGCCTAATTACGCCGCATTACAGGGATCTAGGATATCCGGCAGAATACAGGCTGCTCACAAAAGACGTATGCCACATTCGCCTTTTTCCTTGTGGCATTTGCACTAGTAGTACTTCGGGTTTCTAGTGCCGAAGTGGTTTGACAGTGAACTCGTTGCCCTCAGCTAAAAAACACCCACAAAAAGGTTGATACCAGTGAGAGAATATTTCACTGATTGGGAGGTATTGCGGTTAGTATCTCTGAATGCTTGAAACATACAGAAGGCCATACAAGCACGGCGGCCCTTGTTTCGTAGTTCTGCTATTGGCAAGGGTTATTAGGCGAGCAAGCTTAGGGGAGGACGGTATTCAAAGGCAGCGTGATGTCACAAAGTAAAGGTAGCCCCACTTTGTCAACTGTCTTCAAGTGCACGCCCCAAGACAAAGTTCTTTGTAAAAGTGTTCATAATGAATATGTAGGGGTACAGTGGATTGAAACTGAAAATTTGAGCCACCGGTATTGAAAACACAAGAATATTGGGCACAAATCTTCCGTGAAATCGGCCGTGGTACTCTGGAAATACAGCGCACAGAGAAGCGGGGATACGCGAAATAGCATGGTGTACGAGAGAGCACAGATACACGGCTGCAGCATAGGGAATAGTGATAGGAGTACAGTTCACGACCACTACTGGTATAAGCACTGGCAGGACCCTAGCGCCTTTGTTTGCGATTCTTGAGCCGTGTATATGTCCATCGGTAACACTCAACCTACCCTACCCAAATGAACGATTTGGTGCTGTGGCCTGATCCCGGGACGTGCCTTTGACTTTGGCAACATTGGATTCACTTTCGAATATTTTTCCTTCCTTCCACTCTCCCTAGGTCCCGTCTTATTGCAAGCAGAAATGTCGTCAGCCATTGAGGTGCGCCAGAAGATGTGGGTTATATCGCAAGTTGCACTGTCTAATTGCAAGTAATAGCTACTCCGAATCGTATGAGCATCACGTATTTTGGTCAAGAGTAGTCTAGTGCACTGCAACATGCTCGCTTATCGAATTCCAGCAGTACAGTAGTGTAAATTTTGACATTTTCACTGCTTTGAACCAAATCAATTGTCACTCCTTACCTCAACTTGCGGGACAACTCGCACAGGACGGCTGAGAGGGACGTGTTCTCCTTGAACGGAAAGCATTGCCGATATTGTCTCATTGTTATTGCCAAACACCACCTTGTCGATTCCCTAAACTGCCATTTATTCACTGATCTGTAAGTCACAATTCTTCGAGCCATGGGTCATTTAATGCAGTCAGTCTACATATAAAGTCTGATAGTAGATAAGTTGCTTTCTGAAGGTGGAATTCAAATGAAGAAGGATTCCACGATAAGGCTCGAAGAAAGGCTGCCCTACCTAGTGAAAGACAGGCAAATCCCTAAGAGTGAACGACTCGCAATGCAGTGATGGATATCACCCAACAATCTAACGTGGCCGTCCCGTGCCGCTATCGCCGTTTCCCGCCCATCGGCGCCTGGTTCTAACCGCCTAACAGAGAGAGCGTTAGAGTTGATGAAGTCAGTACCTATTAGGCACACCTAACGCGCAAGTCAGCGGGCAAAGGGGTCCCATTTCTGGGTTCT